TACCAGGAGAAAGACAGGGACAATGAGGTCACCCAGAAACGTCCCAGAAGTTGGTACTGAGGTAAGTAGTATTTTTATTTTTTCTTGTGAAATCTTTATTTTAAAATGATTATCTACATGGAACATCCACTTTAATAACATACTGGAATGAAAGGCAGAATAGAGTAGCGCTGAACAGGACAGAGATACATTCGGTCATAAGAATAAAAATCTATCTGATCTGTAATAATCTCAACATCATTATACATCTGTTTATCCTGGAGAACAATATATGACATGCAAACAAACATTGTTTTTTGGATATTTATGGTACATGTAATTGTTTTGTTTAAATTATTGAAATCCCTGCCAAAATCCTTTGAAGCCACAGTGGTTAGGTTTGTTCATGCGTGGTCTCTGAAAGCCTGCATTTATGAAGCTAAATGGGAGATCCTGCTGTTTGACAAAGGTCTGCACTCTAAGACTGCTGTGAGATTCTGTTTTAAAGATCATTTAGTAAATATACTTAATTGAAGGTTTTCCTCCCTTTAACTTTGCACTATAGGGTTAAAGATGAAAGGGTCAAAATGCAATTATTGATAAACTGACAGTTGTGTGTCATCAAAAATATTTTGGTTTCACAGCCTATTCACATCATTAATTATTCATAATCTGAAGGGACTCTGGGCGGCAGTGCTAAATCTGATAGGTGGATCCACTGTTTGCCATAGCTTAAAGTAGTTGTAAACCCTTACAAATACACAGTAAAGTGATTGACCTCAGGTGATACACAGAGATGAAACAAACCCTCATATACGAGTTGTACTTGTTTATCTACACTTTTCTCTTCTCTACATCTGTTCAAAGTCCATAATTTATAAAGCTTGTCTGAGAGTTTGGAAAAAAGGGGGCAGAGAGCTGAAATTACAGTTTGCAGAGCTCAGTTAGGAGAGCCTTGAGAGCTGACTGGAGGAAAGAGACACCCCTCCACTTCACACAGGAACAAAGCTGAGCTGTTGGAGCTCCCTCCCCTGTCACCATTTTTCTTCTGGTGTCAGGAAAACTTGTCAGAAGTGACTTAACCTGATAGCAGAGGAATTAAGTAGCAGACAGAAAGACAGAGAGACAAGTACACACTATAGAGGGATATGCTTTGTTCATGTATTTTGTGTCTGAGGTTTACAACCACTTTAAGAAGAGTATGCCAGTGTGGGAGTCTGCCATATAAACAGGAAAAAGCATTTTTTTTCTACATGAGGTGTTCCTTCCTTGCTGGTTCTTACACTCATATGCATTGGTATACAGTGCTGTGAAAAAAGTATTTGCTCCCTTCCTGATTTTTTATTTGTTTGTATATTTGTCAAACTTAAATTATTCAGATCATCAAACAAATTTTAGAGTTAACATAGGAACATTTAACAAAAAACAAACAAAATTTTTTTAATTGTCAGGTTTCATTAACTGACTTCAGATCGAAGCTCATCCCTTTGATCTGTAGATGAATTTAGATGAATAAACAGAAAGGTACAAAATGAAACAATGTTTCTTTGTATGGTCCTGTATTCACCTTCAGCAATGTTGTTGATTAACATTGCCAGACTGCTTTTTTTTTTTTTACAGCTCCAGCTCTCAGAACTTTCTCTGTGTACTCAGCAATGCAGCTTTGATTAATCAGAGCTGAATTGCTGAGTACTGGAACAGGGGAGGTCCTGGCAGTAGGGCAGAAGGACTGGATGTGTTACAAATGCCCTGTGTACAATGATGACTTTTCTTGGCACATGTAACACGTCCCCAGTCTGCAACTAGTTAAGGGAAAAAAGCTGTCCAAACCTGCCTGGCACTATGTGAAAAAGTAATTGTCCCCAAACCTAATAACTGTTTGTGCCATCCTTGGCAGCAACAACTGCAGAAATGTTTTAAAGGATACGTTCACCTTTGGGAACATGTTACTTGTTCCACCAGTTTTATGGTTTATGTTCCCAATTCTGCAGCTGCTGCTCACTGCCCCCCTCCCTGTGTCAGAAGTACAGGGAGAAGTTCCTTCTACAAGCTGTTAATTTTCAAAAACAGCGCAACTGTGTGGGGTTCTGCCCACATGGCCACATCGTTCATTCACAGTGTTCTGTGAATGAATGGACTACAAGTCCTGACAGCCTTCACGGCTGTTGGCTTGTAGTTCTCAATGATCTACCACTGCACTGTTGAGCGCCCTGGTAGTAAAGTAACTCTTCCTGTCAGTATATCTGCTTGCTTGTACATCTTGTACATCCCATATGGGCAAGCAGATATACTGACAGGTCTGCAGGAGACCTGCATGGCTCCAGCCACATTGGAGGGTGATCATGGGTGATCATGAATGGCCTGCTTAAGGTCATGCCACAGCATCGGATTTAAGTCTGGACTTTGACTAGGCCACACCTTATCCATCACCCACCTGGCTGTGTTTCTTTAAAATTTGACAGCTGGGGGGGAGATCCAGGGTCAAAGTGAGGGGGGGGGGGGGGAGCCGGGGCTGGTCTGATGTTACATGTTCTACCTTGAATATGGGTGTAACATGTTAGGAAAAGTGAATTTATCCTTTAATTTTGTTTTTCTTCAGCCATTCAGAGTGTTTCAGGTCATTGTCCAGCTGCATAATCCAAGTGTACTTGAGCTTGAGATCACAAACTGATGACCAGACGTTATCCTTTAGGATTTTATGGTAGAGTGCAGAATTCATGGTTCTATCAATTATGGCAAGTCGTCCAGGTCCTAAAGCTGCAAAGCAGCCTCAGACCATCACACTACCACCACTATGTCTCACTGTTGGTATGATATTCTTTTTATGAAATGCTGTGTTAGTTTTATGCCGGATGCAAACCTTCCAAAAAGTTAAACTTTTGTCTCTTCAGGCCACAGAAATTTTGCCCAAATGTCTTGGGGATAATCAAGATGTGTTTTGGCAAATGTGAGATGAGTTCCCATGTTCATTTTGGTCAGCAGTGGCTTTCACCTTGGAACTCTCCCATGGATTGCTCAGTTTCTCATTGTTGAATAATGAAAACTGACCTTAGCGGAGGCAAGTGAGGTCTTCAGTTCTTTAGAGGTTGTTCTGGGTTCTTTTATGACCTCCTGGATGAGTTGTTGTTGTGCTCTTGGAGTCATTTTAGTAGGCTCGCCACTCTTGAGAAGGTTCACCATTGTTCCAAGTTTTCTCCATTTGTGGATAATGCCTCTCACTGTGGTATGCTGGAGTCCCAAAGCATCAGAAATGGCTTTGTAACCCTTTCCAGACTGATACATGTCAGTTACTTTGTTTCTCATCTGTTCTTAAATTTCGTTAGATCGTGACATGATGTTTTGCTTTTTGAGATCTTTTAGTGTGCTTCACTTTCTCAAACAGCTTCTCTTTATTTAAGTAATTTCTTGATTCAACAGGTCTGGCAGTAATCAGGCAAGGGTATGTTAAGTGAAATTTAACTCACCTTTCCAAAACATGTGGTTCATTACAGTTCATTCATAATTTAACAATTAGTTTTTCACACAGGATCAGACAGGTTTGGACAGCGTTTTCCCCTTAATAAATTAAATCACCACTGCATTTTTATAATATTAAAATTTGTTTGATGATCTGAATAATTTAAGTGTGACAGGAAGGGGACAAATATCTTTTCACAGCACTGTACTTGCAGTTTGTAGTGCTTTACAACTACATTATAGCAGGTGTAATACTTTGGTATCTGTAAACATATAAAGCAGAAGTAATTAATTAATATTCAAGGAGGTCCAGTTGCTAAAAAATTTTTCCAGCCAAGGTCCGAATCTCTCTTTTTAAGCAAAAGAAAATAAAACCACCTTGCATAGTGTGTCCCTATCAGAGTACCTCTTAGTTCAATTGTTCCCATCAAAATATCCCCATACATCAGGTGTCCCCACCAGAGTGCCCCATACATCAGGTGTCACCATACATGAGGTTCCATACATCAGATTTCCATCAGAGTGTCACTATAGATCAGTAGAGTCCATTAGTGCCAGGCGGGGGTGGGAGCTGGGAGGAGAAGAGTGCTGCAGGGGGTGAGGCACACAGATGATGTCCACGGTTGCTATGATGCTGGCAATCCTAACAACCACTGCCTGAAGCTTAGTGAGGATCCAGCACAGCAGAGTGGTAGGCTGATGGTCTGGACTGGGCTGTCAGTAGGCCTGGATCCAGACCGCAGTACACCATTTAGTGAAGGCTGATATAAAGGGTAATTGATGGGCAGTCAGTCAACAGTAAGTGGCTTCAAGCATGCTTGAGACAAATATAGTTCTATACTTTGACAAAAAAGTTAACAAAAAACTTTCAAAAAGATATATACACTACATTGCCAAAAGTATTGGGACACCTTCCTTTACATGCACATGAACTTTAATGGCATCCCAGTCTTAGTCCACAGGGTTCAATAATGAGTTGGCCCACCCTTTGCAGCTATAACAGTTTCAGATCTTCTGAGAAGGCTGTCCACAAGGTTTAGGAGTGTGTCTATGGGAATGTTTGATCATTCTTCCAGAAGCGTATTTGTGAGGTCAGGCAATGACGTCAGGCGAGACGTCCTGGCTCGCAGTCTCTGCTCTAATTCATATCAAAGGTGTTCTATCGGGTTGAGGTCAGGACTCTATTCAGGCCAGTCAAGTTCCTCCACCCCAAACTCGCTCATCCATGTATTTATGGACCTTGCCTTGTACACTGGTGCGCAGTCTTGTAGGAACAGGAAGGGGCCATCCCCAAACTGTTCCCACAAAGTTGGGAGCATGAAATTGCCCAAAATGTCTTGGTATGCTGACGCCTTAAGAGTGCTCTTCACTGGAATTAAGGGGCCAATCCCAACCGCTGAAAAACAACCCCACACCATAATCCCCCCTCTACCAAACTGTACATTTGGCACAATGCAGTCAGGCAAGTACCATTCTCCTGGCAACCACCAAACCCAGACACGTTCAGTGGATTGCCAGACAGAGAAGCGTGATTCATCACTCCAGAGAACAGATCTCCACTGCTCTAGAGTCTTGTCGCACCATGCTTTACACCACTGCATCTGATGCTTTGCAGTGCACTTGGTGAAGTGTGGCTTGGATGCAGCTACTTGGCCATGGAAACCCATTCCATGAAGCTCTCTACACGCTGTTGTTGTGCTAATTTGATGGCCACACGAAGTTTGGGGGTCTTTAGCTATTGACTTTGCAGACAGTAAGTAACGTCTGCGCACTGTGAGCTTGTGCGCAGTGCACTGACCCTGCTCAGTCATTTTACGTGGCCTACCACTTTGTCGCTGAGTTGCTGTTGTTCCCAGTTACTTCCACTTTGTTATGATACCACTAACAGTTGATTGTGTAATATTTGGTAGCAAGGAAATTTCACAGATGGACTTATTGCACAGGTGGCAACCTATCACTGTACCAGGCTTGAATTCAGTGAGCTCCTGAGCGTGACCCATTCTTTCACAAATGTTTGTAGAAGCAGTCTGCATACCTAGGTGCTTGATTTTATGTACCTGTGGCCATGGAGGTGATTGGAAGACCTGAATCCAATGATTTGGAGGGGTGTCCCAATATTTTTGGCAATATAGTATATATATATATATATATATATATATATATATATATATATATATACACATACATATACCGTGCATCTAGAAAGTATTCACATCTCTTAATTTTTGCCACATTTTGTTATGTTACAGCCTTATTTTAAAATGGATTCAATTCATTTTTTCCTTACCATTCTACAAACAATACCCCATCATGACAATGTGAAAGAAGTTTGTTTTGAAATCTTTGCAATTTATAAAAAACAAAAATGAAAAAAAAAACATATGTACATACATATTCACAGCCTTTGCCATGATACTCAAAATTGAGCTCTGGTTTCCACAACTTGATTGGCGTCCACCTGTGGGAAATTCAGTTGATTGGACATGATTAGGAAAGGCATAAACCTGTCTATATAAGGTCCCACAGTTAACAGTGCATGTCAGAGCACAAACCAAGCCATGAAATCCAAGGAATTGTCCGTCGACCTCCGAGACAAGGGTACAGAAAAAGTTCTGCAGCATTGAAGGTCCCAATGAGCACAGTGGCCTCCATCATCCGTAAATGGAAGAAGTTTGGAACCACCAGGAATTTTTCTAGAGCAGGCTGCCCAGCCAAAATTAGCGCTCTAGGGAGAAGGGTCTTAGCCAAGCAGGTAACCAAGCACCTGATGGCCACTCTGAAAGAGCTCTAGTGTTTCTCTGTGGAGAGAGGAGAACCTTCCAGAAGAACAACCATCTCTGCAGCACTCCACCAATTAGGCCTGTATGGTAGCGTGGCCAGATAGAAGCCACTCCTCAGTAAAAGCCAAATGGCAGCACACCTGGAGTTTGCCAAAAGGCACCTGAGGGACTCTCAGACCATGAGAAACAAAACTCTCTGTTCTGAGGAAACAAAGATTGAACTCTTTGGCCTGAATCCCAAGCATCATGTCTGGAGGAAACCAGGCACCGCTCACCACTTGGCCAATATCATCCCTACAGGGAAGCATGGTGGTGGCAGCATCATGCTGTGGGGATGTTTTTCAGTGGCAGGAACTGGGAGACTAGTCGGGATCGAAGGAAAGATGAATGCAGCAATGTACAGAGACATCCTTGTGGAAAACCTGTTCCAGAGCACTCTGGACCTTAGACTGGGGCGGCGGTTCATCTTTCAACAGGGCAACAACCCTAAGCACACAGCCCACATAACAAAGGAGTGGCAACAGACCAACTCTGTGAATGTCCTGGAGTGACCCAGCCAGAGCCCAGACTTGAACCCGATTGAACATCTCTGGAGAGATCTGAAAATGGCTGTGCACCGACACTCCCCATCCAACCTGATGGAGCTTGAGAAGTACTGCAAAGAAGAATGGGAGAAACTGCCCAAAAATATGTTTTCCAAGCTTGTATCATCATAGTCAAAATGACTTGAGGCTGTAATTGGTGCTAAAGGTGCTTCAACAAAGTATTGAGCAAAGGCTGTGAATACTTATGTACATGTGGTTTTTTTTCATTTTTTATTTTTTAATAAATTGCAAAGATTTCCAAACGAATGTCTTTCATGTTGTCATTATGGGGTATTGTTTGTAGAATGCTGAGGAAAAAAATTAATTTAATCCATTTTGGAATAAGGCTGTAACAGCAAAATGTGGCAAAAGTTAACCGCTGTAAATACTTTCTGGATGCAGCATATAAAAATGAATATATATATATATATATATAATATATATATATATATTAGCAGACTCGATGGATCACTTTTTCTTTTTACTGCAGTCACTTTTGTATGTTTTTATATAGCTCTCTGGCCACAGGTATCCTCGCCTTGATATTACACTGTACATTAGTCCACAAGAAACCTACCACTTTAAGTACATTTTAAAAATATGTAATTTAATCAACTTCATTATTTGTTTGTATTTTTTGTGTTTGATGTACTGTACAGTATTGTCTTATAGATAAGGGATTAATGAGTTTCATGCTGAACCACAATCTATTCAATTGATTCAATTTCTATTGTCTCTTTGTTATTATCATTAATTATCATGAACATTACCCTCACCTCCTGTGCACCATTAAAAATGATTCTTTGAAGCCTCTCTGTTCTGATGTACTGATCAATTACAATCAAACATATAGATTGTTTTGGCATTCTTGTAGTTTAATTTATTGGCATGGAACCACCACAGTGCCCTAAAGTACTCAAGGGGAAATTTGTTTAATCTCAAAGAGAAATACCTTAATAAGAATGAATAGATTTAACAGATTTCCAAATGTGCTATGCCAGACTTCACTTGAAATACTAGCAATTTAAGAATCTGCTCCAACACCAATCCAGCTGATTTCTTCTGATATCCAGGAATTATCAGACTGGTGCTTAATGGAAATTTGTGCAACCAAATTGTGAAATTAAAAGGTATTTCTTTTAGTTTATTTGTGCTTGCTGATGGTAGATTGTGTCATTGCAAAACCAGTAGGCAAATATGGAAAATTTCGTATTACTTTTTTGGGGGGCATATTAGTTGAGTGAGCAAAAAACATGGTTACAGAAGTGTACTTAGGTTAGGTCAATTTCTCACCACTATGTTTTGGTGTGCAATTCGTAATCTCTAGTGGTAGTTTCTAGCAAATTGTACTTTCCTCCTCTCTAGCATGTATTTAAACCAAAAATTCTCTCTTGATAGGTGGACTCAGAACACTGTTAATAACACATTTCTGCTTAGACGGTAATACATTAAAATGCAACAGATTAGCCTGTGTTCTTTTGTAATTTTTATTATTGGATGTGTTGTTTGGATGAGTAACTTTTCAAAAAGTAAGAAAAAATCTCAGACAATATTATTCCTGTGGACATGTTATGATCAGGAAACACAATCAGTTTATTTGTCAACAAATCCTATTTGATGTAATTCCTTTATCACATATACAACATTCAATGGAGGCATGGCTGTTGCTTGCAATCAGAAAAGAAACCAGTGCATGCAACTTGATATTGTGTATAATGTTATTTTTCCTAACAGGAGTATTTACTTGTTATGAACAATCAGGAAAAACATGTTTAGGACTTCTTTCATCTTTGAATCTATAAGCATTGTGGAAAAATTAATTTTCTTTTTTTGTATAATTAATAATTTTTAATACATTTCAAAAGAAGCATCTTGTACAACATACAGCAAAATCTCAGTAAATAATAGCTGTACACAGGCAGACAAAACGTATAACAGTTTCTAATGGCCAGTAGTGATATCAGCGGCGTGTATGGGGAAAACTCAACATAGAGGTTGCAACCCTGGACCAAAAATGTTACAACTAACCAAATAGCTTCTTTCTACAGGCAGTCAATAACATAGACCAGGGGTCTGCAAACAAAGGGCCAGTTTACTGTCTTTCAGACTGTAGAGGGGCCGGACTGTGGCCAATGAGAGTAGAAAATGTCCTGGGACCATCATAAATGAGAATAAACATGGGCTCATGGTTTTTGGTCAGTAGAAGGAGGAGTAGCGACCCATCATTGGTATTAGTGGGAGGAATAGTACCCATCAGTGGAAGAAATGGTGCACCATTGTTGGTGTCTATAGAAGGAATAGTGCCTCATATCATTGGGAGGAATAGTGCCCCAAGGGCCGGATATAAGTTAGCAAAGGGCAACATCTGGCCCTCAGGCTGCAGTTTGGAGACCCCGACATAGACAATATGACCGTCTACACCAAAGGCAAAGTACTAGATGCAATGTCTTATTAACAATAAAGAACAGAGAAGAAGAAGAAAAAGAATGTTAGTAAGAGAAAGAGATATAGGACTCTCCACTCTCCAGAAGCTATCTGCTCCTTCCAAAGACTATAACTAATAGTGCCACGCTCCTGTGTTAATAATGTGCTCAAAAAGATCCAAATATCAGCTGCATAAATGTAAGAACTCAAAAATATATAATAATATATATAATAAGTGACTGATCCTATAATCTTCAAATTATAATGACAGTGTACATGCCCAATGTGAAAACAAATAAACAACTAATTCTCAATAAACCGCATAACCAAGTCAATAAGTCAATATATATATGTAAGTCCTCTTTCAATTCAGAAACTCCCACTCCAGTATCTGGATGCAGTGTGATCTATTTATGCGCTCACCTTATACTTTGCCTAATTGATATTAGGCAAAACCAGCTTTTTAGACAGATGTAACGATATTCCTCCAGATACTTTTTGGATAGCTGTAGTTATGGCAATATTCCACCTGGGGTCTCTCCAATCTGTTGATCCCTGTATTAAGGTATGGATGGATGGATATCTCCTATTTCCCCTCCAGGGGTCTCCTCCTCCATTTAGTATCCTCTCTTCCCCCCAGCAAAGTCCACAGTCACAGGTTTCTTGGTAGCAGATTCACCAGGCACAGGATTCCAAGTCCCAGCCCCTTCCTTCCAGCTGGGATGGACCAGAAACCCTCCATAAAAATCTATCAAGGGAATACCAATGCTGCCAAACCTTATTGTGTTTGTCAAGGTTATTGGTGAGGGATACCGTAAGGGACTCCATAAATTCTATGTCCTTGATTCTAGCATAAAGCTCAATAGAAGTGGGAGGTTCTTTCTTTTTCCAGTGGAGTGCCACTAAGCACCATGCCATGGTCAGAATGTGGCGTGCTAGCTTTTTGGGTGTTAGATAGAGTGGGTGGAAGTAAGTCAAGAAAAAATACTTTAGGAAGAAAGGGAAAGTTCAAGTCAAATAGACATTGAAGCAGACGGTGAACCTCCTGCTGGATGGAAAACGTTTCCGTCACACACCTGAGGCTTTGGGAGAGTTGGACCTTTCAATCTGGATTGATCCCAAGCTTAACTAAACTTAGAGCCATGCGTTGCAGAGGAAAGGCTGCCATCGCAGTCCAAGAACTCTGGTGGGACTTAAAGAATGCAGTTGCCGCAAATACTGCCTAAGGGAAGGATACTGCCAGTA